TAAGGCAATGAATTCATTGGAGCATGCAGCTGGTTTTGACTAAGCACAATGGGACTATGATGGGTTTTTTAAAAGCATTTTATACACACTGTACAGAAATCTTTTGCAAAACCTGTGCATTGAGAAAAGGCTGTGTCAAATTTTTGCAGTATCTGTAAACTAGGTGATGATAATGAAGACGATTTTTTCTATCACAGGTTTTCAGTATACATATATTGTATCATATATATAAATATATATATATATAAAGGATCCTGTTCCACTTCTAGCTTCAGAATTGCTTGGCCCAAAGTCCATCTAAACCTTTCAGAGTGCAGTAGGAGTGGTGAGTTCATCCTTGTGCTTACAGCTTGAAAATCGTTTTCAGTGTTTAAAGTATGTCATTTGTTTCATTTCCAAACTTGTAAATATCTCTCAGCTGCCGTTAGCACCTCATCACCAAAGCATTCATGAGGATATTTTTATGTCCAAAGCCTAATTTGTAATAAAATAAAAAATATTCACAATTAAAACATTTCTCTCTTGCAAGCCAAGTTGCAACATCATCATATTGATGTTACAGTGACGGAGCCAGCCTTAAGTATAACCGATGCAGGGAGTCTGCAGGGACAAATCAGCAGTTCGTAGGCTGGCCAAATCTTCCTCTCCAGCAGTGGGACTAAGAGGGGAAACACCTCCCCAGTTGGGGCTTCCCCATCCTGCTGCCACACCATCACACTCTACAGCCTTGTAGGGTGACGATCAAAGAGATTTTTTTTTCCCCCTGGCATGCAAGGACTTTGTCTCAGTGCTGAGTGTCATTGCTGTGCCTGCAGTGGGAAATGTCAGTTGTTACCAAAGGTTTTCCTAAGGAAAAGGGCTTGATCTGACCATGTGTGCTCAGTATAGACTCTCTTGTAAGGGCAAGAGTTAAATTTAATTTACCATCCAAGTAACTGCACTGTGAGCCTGCAGTGTATCTGCAGGAGCAAAAGCTGTCTCTGCCAGCAGCTGGTGGAGATACTCTGCAAGTACTGTTAAATTCTCAGGGCTCTGCTAGCCCTTTTTTTGATCCACCTCCAAGCTCAGTTTCATGTCAGGTAGGAGACCTGGCCCTTCTCTTTGTGCTTGCTCCATCAGTACGCTGCAGTGGTCAGTATTTTGCTAGTGGAGAAGAAAGGAGGCATAGCAAAACAACGTTCAGCACCGCATGCAATACAAGAACAGACCTTGAGGTCGAGGAGCCACAGTCAGAAGGGTGAGCCCGGGTGCCTGAGCAGAGTCAGAAGTGGTGTACGAGGCTGTGTGGCTGATGGAGAGAGATCTAATACAGGGGGAAGCTGTGGGAAGGCTTGAAAGAGGCGGTGTTCACAGAAGACTAAACCTTCCTGATCAGCTAGAACCTATCTTGGTTCCCTTCTGTATTGCGGCAGCTAATTTTCTAAGCAATTCAGCAGCACCTTTTAAACAAAGGTTAGACTCATCCTGAGCAAGAGTGCGAAGTATGTGATTTCTTAGCAACTGAAACTTCTTTCAGACAGCAGTCATCAAGGGGTGTCTTTAATTAGCACCAGCCTCAAGTGCTTTCTCACTACAGGACTGTTTGTACTTCTTCCTATTTGTCAAAGCTGGCTCTTTGTGCTGTGATTGTGCTGCCGTTAAAAAAAAAAATGTTTATGGAAGTGTGGTTTATAAAACCTGCTGTTTTTATTAGGCCTGTGGGTACAGTTTAAGCCACAGTCTTTCTGCTTGGCATTAATACAAACAAATTCTCGTCTCACATGAAATCTGGAATTATTTTTTTTTCCTACCTCCTGCATTCACATCTCAGACTGTGATAGCATACACTTTGGATGCACAGGGGGGAAAAGCTGAGTTGTTTAAGGGAATATTTAAGCCTCCATTTACTATCAAATAACAGACATAAAACCCCAAATGGCTGAAAGGATACATGTTTAGGTATCGGTGCTCAAAGAGATTCCTCATCAAGGGAGAGCTGGGGGTGCTGAACTCTGAAGATTTTGAATGTTACGGAGTTGCTTTCCTTTATGGTTCTTCTTTTTCCATATTCATGTTAGAAAACTCCTCTTCCTGGGTGCTGCGCTTTTTACAGCACCTTTAAGAAAACTGGACCCTGTTAGTACCTGCAGATACTTCCAGCTATATTTGTGATTATTGAAGACTCTTGCATTTTATCTCAAAGATTTCTTTTGCCTGAATAATATCAACTTGATATGAAATGCTGCTGTATGATACATACAGAGGTAGTATTCTGACCTTGCTCTCTCAAGGTCTCTTTCAGCCAACTTGTGGCCTCTCTGCAGATCCAGCAGGTCCTGTAACTCTGTTGTAAATAGATTACAGAATTTCAGTAAGTTGGCCTGGAGTGAGCCCACTGAGTGAGAAGCACCACAGCCAACCCCCTCTGCAGCATTCTGCAATTACTGGATATTTTGTGCATGAAATATTGTCTGTAACAAACATGGGGAAACATAGTTCCTCATAAAGCTCCATTAGGCCTTTACAAAGCTCCCAAGAGAGCAGCTGACTCTGAGGGGAAGATTTCCACCTGCAGCTTTACCACTCAGGGTATTCCCAAAATGGCCAAGGTGTGATGGCAGCTGTACCCTCTAGCACCTGCAGCAGCTTCAGACCAGCTAGAACGACCAACAGTAATGCTAGCAATGGAGCAGCACAAGCTCGGTGCAGACTGGCACTACGCAGACAGCCACAGCCTCCAGACGTCCTCATGGTGCTCTTACCCTGCACTGACATCAAAGTACACTTGCTCACAGTGTGCCCCAGCGCTGGACTGGCTGACAGGCCTGCAGGAAGGCAACAGCAGGGGTGCCAGCGAAACAGGGCTCAGAGGGCGCATTGACACGTAGCGCTTGTTTTTTAAGGTGGCCACATTTAATGGACATGCCTGGCAATGAGAAACTAACTCTCTGCTTGGAGCAGCCAGGCCAGGCTGTTTCACTCTTAGCCACGGAATGGGAAATCTGATTGCTTGTGTAACGTTGTCAGCTCCCATCAGGTGTCCAAAGCACCCGCTGCCCTGTGGGTGATCCCCACATCTCCACCAAGCTGCCAAGCCCCCTGAGTATGGTTCTACAGGGATGACACACATCCAGGCAGGATTTATCATTATATTATCATTTAGCATTAAAAGTGTTTTACTTTTAAACTAAGTTAATGCTGAGACGAAGTCTGTGCCCTCAACTGACCTACCTGTACAGGTTCTGTGGCTTCAGTGGAGTTCATCTGCATTGCTGACAATGCTATTAGGCCTTTGTTACAAATACCGTGAATAAAGGCTAAATGCAGAACTGCACATTATGACCTGACTATTTATAACCATGTTTTAATGCCCTTGCAATGAGGGGACTGCAACAAGTGACCCGGGATAATATAAACTTCAGAGGCAGAGGTAAAGGGTAGTCTGTATGTACAAAGGTCTAACAGCTAATTAACATGCACAGCGGCTAACAACGTGGTTTTGTTTCTGTTCCTTTCACTGCAGTGGTAGATTATCCGCTAACATGGGGCTTGGATTTATTTTCCAGCTCATTCTTTCATGTCCCATCAGAAAATGGTGCTTTCCAAAGGAAACAAAATAAAATCCCATTTTACTAGGCTGACTGCACACTGCCATCAAGTGATGAATTCTCATTCTGGGATCTGTATAGTGGTGTTACCATAGCGTCAGGATGCTGAATATTCGCTGTAACTGTAGTCTTTATTATGAAGCTAGTGAAAAACCAACATCTTCTCTACTCAAGCCATATTTCACCTCCATGTCCAACTTCTGATGCTGGTGCTTTTACTTCTCTTTCTACCAAACTGTTCAGCGTTGCTCTGCCACTGAGGTCAATTTGCTGATAACTTTTTGAAGGCAAATGCAATATAAAGCGCAAAAAAAAATTCCAATCTCAGACTTATTCACTAAGAGCAAACAGTTGGAATATATTGATGCTTTTCAATCTTTGCAACAATCAACTGAAGGAGGAAAAAAGAAACAGTATTGCTAACAGTTCAGCATTTTCAAGGTGCAAAGTAATTCCACAGCCTTAATTATTTCAGTGTATTGCTGGTCTGCCTTAAATGTATCTTCAGTTTTATTGCGAATTTCATTTTGTATGCACACGATGTTGTTTTGTAAAGGTAAGTTTGTAAATATTTCCTTTGTTAAGTCTAATCACTCATGTGTACTGTTGTGAGGTGATTACTTGCTGTCCCATGTTGTTATTACTATACTGCAGTATATATGATCATCTACGGATGTAGCTTCAAACTGTACATCTTCTGTCCTGGCATTCCTATAAATAGAGTATACGAATGATTCAGTTTCTGGGCTTTTTTGATTAAATACAGTTGTTCAGAGAAGACCGGGTCAGTCTTATTTCACACGTATGGCAATCTTTCTGAAGCCTTGAAGACTCAGAGCTTGCTGATCACTTTTCGGAGGGATGTTGACAAGACACCAGAGCAAGAGACTGTCACCCCAGCCGACTCCTGGCCTTGCACGCCCGGGATCCAAGCAGCCCTTTGGGACTCCCCCGGGAGCCGAAGCAGAAGGTCTGCGGTCACCACGCACCCTGCCCGCACCACCGGTTTCTGCTTCCCCCTGGAAAGGGCACGTGGGGCCGGGGGGGCCGGGCAGCCCCTGGACGCGCCCCCC